AGAAGAAGAAGAAAAATCAGAAGAGAGAAATGAAATAGAAGTTGTAGACGATGAAGAACAGGAAAGAAAAGATAAGGAATAAGAAAATTGACGTCGATGATAAAGATGAAGGAAAAGGCGAAGAAGAATACCAACAAAAGGAAAAAAAATCATATTAAGAAAAATTATGACAAGACGAAAAATATTGAAGAATAAAAAGGGGAAATGGGTAATGAATTTGGAGAAAGGGGGATACAGAGAGAAATTGAGTTAAAGCTTTTAGGGACATATAGATGCTTCAAGAACATGTCGATGCAAGAGAGTGTGAGGGGAGAGAGAGAGAGAGAGAGAGAGAGAGAGAGAGAGAGAGAGAGAGAGAGAGAGAGAGAGAGAGAGAGAGAGAGAGAGAGAGAGAGAGAGAGAGAGAGAGAGAATAGGGGGAGAGAAAGAGAAGTGATAGAGAGAGTTAACCTTATAGGTACATGATATTCAATCTATGTGAGCTCATTTTTTGTGTTCGTATTTTTTTATTTTCGAAATACTTTCTTAGTTTATTTGTAGTTATCTAAATCATATGATATATACAAATTTAGGACAAGGAGGAAAGGAGAGAATGAGAGATAAATATTGAGAGAGGGATGCGCGCGTGGGTGGGAAAGAGAAATAGTTAAAATTTTTCAAGTACATATATATTTGATTGATATAAAAGATGAAGAAAAATAAGAAGAGTATGAAGTCGGAGAGAACGAAGAAGACAAATGCGATGAAGAAGAAGAAGAAGTAAAATAGGAAGAAGATGAGGAAAACAGAAAACAAGAAGAAGATGTGACAAAAAAAAACTTAAAGAATAAGAAATAACAAAAGACATATAGAATGAAGAGGAGAAAGAAAATTAAATAAAAGAAAATTAAAGAAAGTAAGAAGAAAACGTGAGAAAAGAAGGAGAGATAAAGATGAAAGACGGTGAAGAAATAAAAAAACGATAAAAAAAGAAAAACTAAAAGATAAATAAGAAGAAAAAGAAAAAAGAAAAAAAACAATTATGTAAAGACGAAGAACTCGTTTTTGTCTTAATTCAATTGGTTTGTGATTTCAATACACTTATTTAGTAAATATTTTTTCTTTTAATTTTGGATGGTGTTTCATTTTTGGATTTATTTTATTTTATTATGTATATATTAATTAATTGTATTTAGTTATATTTAATTTTAGTTTACAATATTTAAACATCTATGCCTGCACAAGGTATGGGCCAAACACCTAGTTGTCATGTAAATAGCTTTTTAAAGATTTGTATTTTGGTTCAGAAGTTCTCAAAGTTTTCAGAACTGCTCCAACTCGTGTTTTAAAATTATTAATAGATTTATGCATTTTTTACTTACCGACTTTGGAGAGAGAGGTTAGTTCCGTTGGTTTTGGGGAGACAATATAGAGACTCCTTCATAGAAGAATTTAATTCTGTTTTTTTTTCCTTTACTAATTTCTTATATACAATCTATTTCAATCATGTTATTTGTTTCATCTACTGTATATGAGTAGTGTTTGTTAGGTTTAGGGTTTAGGGTTTAGGCTAAAATTAAAACCCTAAAAAAACTAGTTTTTGGCTGGGAAGACAACCATAAATGGGTTTAATGTGTTTAATGCTTATTCTAGAGTCATGAACTAGAATTAAGATGTTAGGTTAATTAATTGATACATGCAAAAGTATTGTCAATTACTTAACTATCTTTGATGAGCAAAATAACTTAGTGGAAAATAATTTAGCTTACGTATTTTGTGAACAAATCGAACTTGTTCATTAATATATACTTGTTTTAATTGCTTGAATTTGCAAATAAAATTTGGGATTCTAGGGATTTAGATATAAAAATTATATGTAGCAAAAGTTGGTGAATCATATCAAAGTGATTCGGTTCTTCATTGAAATCTTAACTGCTATCTGGTTTACAATCGAACTAAGACCAGTTTTCACAGGCTTTCATTTGTTTTATTTGCTTTCCTTTTTGTACTTTACAATATTCTCCACTTCACTTGATTTGAAGCAACGAATTTGCACTGCAACAATAGGTCTATCTATGTGAGACTCAGACCCCTTTATGCTACTTCTGCTTTTCTGCCCACTGAAAGAGTTTTTCTAGGGATAAAACTAGACCAATCAGTAACATCATGCACCCAATCATGAACAAAATAAGTGTGAATGTGACAATTTTTTTTTCTAATAACTTTTTTCCTTTCTGGCCAATTCATTTTATTAGATTCGAGAATCAACCCATTTAAAAGTACAACTATCCCTCCCACCGGAAATTTACAAATGCATTTTAGCTTTTAGGTTTACAACGTTTGAGGTAAAAAAAAAAACACTTTGAAAGGAGTTGGATTTAGGTTATCGCGAGAATATTCACCCTTCTAAAGCTCATGAATTCTACGATTCATTGTATTCTTATTTTGCTAGTGTTGGAGTTACATAAGCCAAGAATGATGTTTTTCAAGTAAGCTGTTACATACTCTCACTATGTTTCTTCTTTACATATACAATTTGTTGTTTATGTGTATGTGTATGATTTCAGACCTCAGAGACAATATCAGAAAAACATGGAAGAAGAGAGGATCTTGCTAAAGCAGCTTTAGGATTTATCAATATGTTCAAGCTTACTACTATGGCTTGACCAAATCCATGATTAGGAATTTCAATGGAACTGAAATCATTACTAGTATGCAACAGTGCAATGACTTATTCTTTTTTGTCACAAAGCAAATCTATATTAACAGAGTCAATAATAATATAGAGAATGCTTTGGGTTTTACCTTTATTGTTTTTATAACTTTCTAAGCAATATCAAAGTTTTGAATTTTGATCATCCGATGATTTTTGGTGGCAAAACACCCACGTTGACCCACAAGGAGAGTATTGGCAACAATGACTACACGTGATTCAATGTTCTTACAACAATTTTGGATGGGTCAAATGATTCAACCAGATTGGGAGATGTTCCATATTTGGGTCACTTAACTTTGCAAAGCCTCACTTAAATTTGGTATCATCAAGAAACTTGCTTTCTTTGATGGTGCCATCCCAAAGTATCTCCACAATGCTCTTCCCACTGTATATTCTCTCTTCAAGAACGTTTTGTTTGACAAAAAAAATCAATCCTCAAAATCTTCAACTTCGACAAGGTTAATCAGCTTAAAACCCAAAATCAAATGTTTTAAGATCAAAAATTCATTAAAACCTAGACGATTTATTAAAATTTGGGCGAGTAATTGGAGAATTTAACTGTCAAAGAGCTGGCTGGAGCCCAAGGGACTACATATTCAAGTGATACAAAGAATTTTACAACACAGTTTCAGGAAAAGTTCAAATCTCAGACATCGAGTGGGATCAAAACCCGGAGCTGCAAGTCCTTAGGTGAGCTACGCCAGAGATTACTTGGTCTACAAAAACATAATCCGAGGAAATACTTTTTATGAACTCGAAATCAAAGTCGATCCAAGTAACCCAAGAGCCATCTTCGTTTGATTTGTTCAGTTTCTTGCCAGTCATGGAACTGGGAAGTTCAGGGGTCAGATTTTCACCTCTAGGGTTTATCAATATGTTCAACTGTGTTGGAATAGTTCAAGAGATGGGGCTTACTGCTACTGGTGATAACAACATTAGGTTTGACTTGAAAGGTGAAAGAAAGATTCGTGGCGTATTTGAGTGCTGCTCCAGAGATGTGTAAGGAGGCTGAATTCATGTGGGAAGTGTTACTTGGACGACAAGGAAGCTGAATTTAAGTGGGAAGAAGAAATTTGTAAACTCAGTTTCAATGTTGTTTGGGTTGAAATTTTGGGTGGCTTCTCTCATCTCTCTTTCACCTTCTAAGAACTTGTTTGGATTTTCTTTTTCTTTTTTTTTTTGCATTGTGTGTAATCAGAGGTTGGGTATTAAAATCCGAATATATTTTTTTTTTGGTTTTGATTTTAGTTATCCTTTAATGTATCTCGTATGCAAAAAAAAAATGGTTGATATTGATTTTTATATGATTTTTTAAACCAAAATTTTTTCTTCAAAAATTGCATAATCCAATGTTATAATGCGGTTAGTGACTTCGATAGAGAAAGAAATATTAGAGCTAAGATTCTAATATGATTTTTGGACCAACAGGTTTATCGATTTATTGTCTAGTGATTCATACATCTCTGCGATTGACCTACCGCCTTACGTTTCTTCTTATTGATTTCAACTAGTTTTAAATTACTAATTGTCTGTCTGTTCTATCTAAAACAATACCGGAACACCTATTGTTTTAGCTTGATTTGGTTATTATAAACTTGTAGTGTATTAATTTCTGTGGATCAAATTCCAATCTCTAATAGTTTTTGTTGTGCACTTTCATTATGTATATTCAGTATTAAAACTCTGTACATCATAATTTCATTAATACATGTAAGAAATTCATCAGCCAAATTTCTTGATTGGTTGCCTCATATAAATAAAGCTATAAATTTTTCATCCATGGTGGAGGAAGTTATGAATGATTGATTTACACTGTACCAAAAAATTGCTCCTCGGCATATGCCTCATACTTTTTGCGTTTTCCGATATGTTTTCTTTTCCTTGTGTGTTAAAAAAATGAACTTTTAATTTTTTTTATTGATTCGTTAAGAGGATTCGGACAAAACTGAAGCGAAATGTCATAAGTTTGTCTCACTGGTGGATGTTGCCATTTTTATGATATCTTTGGCTGAATTAGCATATACAAATGCTCTTCTAATTAATTACTTGTTTTTCACTTTAGATACGTATCACGTATTAATACTAATCAGTTTGTAACATATGAATGTTCTGATAAATGCAAGAAAATAGACGATATAGACCTGAAAGTAAGGATGTGCTGCAGTGGATGAGAGAGTCAAGCATGTCATTTACAAGCTGAGAGGTAATCAAGTATGTTTTTGAAAGAACGTAAATTTTTTTTTATTACAAACCTATACGAAAATATATGATGGGAGAAAAAAAGAAGAAGAACATACAAGAATAGTCATGCCATTATAGAACTGTCGACATGATGGTCCTCCAAGAGTTCGCATATCCCGCATTCACTTATCTCCCATACGTCGCTGTGGGCTTTGAACTCAAAGAAAAGCTCGCTGGTTTCCACGTTTTCTACTTGATCTTCAAATATGTACAGATGCTCTGTTAAAACTGGATGTATATGATGGCTTCCTAGTCTTTGCGTAACAACATTGAGACCAGTCTGTTTGTCCTTGATGGTGGAAGATACAAAGACCTTTGATTCAACTTCTTCACAAGCTCCTTCGTCACCCTTATTAACCAGCAAGATGCAAGCCTTAAATCTCAACGATGTAGGATAACGCCTCTGATCTAACTTCACTGTTAGAGAACCTTTAGTAGTAGCTCGGTAAGTGAAGAACGCAGGCACTTCTTTACCTGGTAAGATTGCATATTCACTAGTCGTTGTCTGGATGCTGATGTCTCTCGCTGTTTCATTCAGTTCCCAGCAGTTAACAAAGTTAAGACGAATATGGGGATTCGGGAAGGTACAAGCAAGTCTCTCCAGAGACTCACAATTTTCTGCATCTAAAGATATTAGGGAGCCCGGAAGCTGTGGGAGTGATACAAGTTTCCTGCATTTGTTGAGTACAAGCCGACATAATCGAGAGATTACGTTTACCCATGGAGGAACTTCTTCTATTTCTAGATCATTCAACTCGAGCTCTGTGATGACGTCAAGCGCATGCGGAAATTTTTCAAGGTTCTTGCAATATGTTATATGCAAGTCTTGAAGTCGAGACCATGACTTAATCGATAAAGGAATTTCCTTTATCAAAGTTCCACGGAGCATAAGCCATCTAATGTTTGTAGAAATCTCAGGAAAACTAATCAACTTCGAGCAACCAGTAACATCAGTGAATTTTAGAAGTTCCAGGTTCATGTTGGTTGGAAGAATCTTTAGCCTTGAGCATCTTTGCAAACTCAAACCCGATAACATATGGAGGTTTCTGATAGACGAGGGGATCTCCACAAATCTTGAGCATCCCCTGAGATTCAAATATTGGAGATTAATGGCTTTTCCAATAGAAGAGGGTAGCTCTACTAGATTTGAACATTCACTGAGATTCAAATTCTGGAGACTGATGATATTCCCAATCGATGACGTAAGCTCCAACAGACTTGAACATCCACGAATATCTAAGTCATAAAGATTAGTGAGTTTCCCAATAGAGTTTGGGAGCTCTACAAGACTTTTGCATCCATTGAGATTCAGTTTTTGGAGACTAGAAGCATTTCCAATAGAAGAAGGGAGCTTAACTAGTCTTGAACATTTGCGAAGATACAATCTTTTGAGATTTGTGGCTTTACCCAAAGAGGAAGGGAGCTTCATCAGACTTGAACATTTCTGAAGATTCAGTATTTGAAGATTAGTGGCATTGCCAATGAAAAAGGGGAGCTCCACCAGACTAGAACAACCTTCAAGATTCAATTCTAGGAGATTAATGGCATCTCCAATAGAGGAGGGGAGCTCCAACAAACTTGAACATCCTTCAAGATTCAATTTTTGGAGATTAATGGCATTCCAAATAGAAGAAGGGAGCTTTATCAATCTTGAACATCCACTGAGATCCAGGTAAGTGAGATTATTAGCATCTCCAATTGAGGAGGGGAGTTCCACCAGACTAGAACAACCTTTAAGATTCAATTCTAGGAGATTAGTGGCATTTCCCATAGAGGAGGGGAGTGTAGGAAGTAAATTTAGAGGAGACAAATATTGCAATATAAGAAAACGATTTGAGATACAGAAAAACGTTTTATAAAAGCGAATTAATTAAAAACGAGAAGTGGAGGCGAGATGATCTCTTTCCTTAATTCAAAATATCTCTGCAGTGTGGCGGTTGGATGAGATAATGAATCCCATGATACAACCACTAATATTCGTATAATCGCAGCACCCGATTATAGAATGTGACGAAATAATATTCTACGATATACTCTCGGACACTTACTCTTGAAAAAAGAAAAGAGACGCGAGAGATTGAGGAAAGTGTGAACGATTTTTTTTGTCTGTAAAATTTTTGAGACAAGTGAGTCCCAAATGGAAGAGGAGAAGTCGATGTATTTAGCGAAGGAGAGAGGAGCGTCGCACTTAATCAGCGTGTTAATGACGTGATTAATTGTGCATTAATGATGCAATTTGGGCGTTAATCTTGGCGTGATTTTTGGGATAGAAATTTGACTGCAGTTTAATGTCGTGATTCTGTTAAGAATTTGAACCGGAAACTTTAGCAATTTGGGCTATAAATGTTGACCAAAACGTGGCCCAAAAAGAACATCTTTTGTGGGCCGAAAGTCCACATTCACCAAGACCCAAGACCCAAGACCCAAGACCCAAGACCCGAGCCCCGAGCCCGAGCCCGAGCCCGAGCCCGAGCCCGGCTCGGCTCGGCGGCGGCGGCGGCGCGCGAGGGGTCCTTGGTTCTCCTTCACACACTTTCCGGATTTTGATGCAAACCGAGACAACAAATACAACTCAGTTTCATTTTATTGTAGAACTAAGTTCTCTATTGTGTTCATTTTGGCCTTGAACTTGCCTGGTGAATCATGAGTGAAGTTGGAGAATATAGCCTTTTCTTTTTTTTTTCATTCTCCTAGAAACGGCCCCATTTCACACTCACTAGGTGATTTGCCAGTAGTCTTTGTTTTAAGAAGTGTTGTACTTCACTGATATATCAAAGCTATGGTATTATCATTAAAAGCTATGCTTATCCTTTGTAGATATACAATGAAAATTGTATATAAGCACTGTTAATCATCTTGGGACGTAGGTTAAGACTGTACGTCTTTCAGTGCGTTAGATGTTGTTTAATTTAGTTTTCCCTTTTGAACCATACATCTTGGGATCTCCAGTCATGTAGGTGGGGTTTCCATCAAACAACCTCCTTAGTGAATGGATCTGCTAGATTATCAGCTCATTTTATGTAATCTAATGAGATTACTCCGGTTGTGATCAAGCTTCTAATGGTTTTATGTCGCCTTCTTATGTGACGAGATTTACCATTATAGAGATTATTCAGTGCCCGAGCGATTGCTGATTGACTATCACAGTGTACACGTATTGCCGGGACTGGTTTCTCCCACATTGGAATATCTTCCAAGAAATTTCGGAGCCATTCGGCTTCCTCTGTAGCTTTATCTAAAGCTATAAATTCAGACTCCATGGTTGATCGGGCCAGTAGAGTTTGTTTGGAAGACTTCCAAGAGACTGCTGCACCAGCAAGGGTAAAGACATATCCACTTGTGGATTTCGAGTTTTTGGTGTCAGATATCCAGTTTGCATCACTGTATCCTTCCAAAACTGCTGGTTCTCTCCCATAGTGCAACCCATAACTTTTAGTGTATCGAATGTAATTTAATACTCTAGTTATGGCTTTCCAGTGTTTGTGTCCTGGATTACTTGTATAGCGACTGAGTACATTTACCGCGTGTGCTAGATCAGGTCTAGTACAATTGGTTAAGTACATAAGGCAACCAATTATCCTTGCATACTCGACTTGTGACACTGACTCACCTGAGTTTTTGGTCAAGTGAAGTTGAGAGTCAACAAGAGTTTTTGCAGTTCCATTTGAATAGATTTTAAACCATTCAAGTATCTTTTCAGCATAATGAGCTTGAGTCAAGGTAATTCCATCAGAAGTTCTTGTGATTTGTACCCCGAGAATGACATCTGCTAGACCCATATCTTTCATGTCAAACTGTGCACTGAGCATGTTCTTAGTTTGTTGGATTATGTCATTATTGCTGCCAATAATTAACATGTCATCTACATATAAACATAGTAGGATATATCCATTCGGGGTCATTTTTATGTAAATGCATTTATCACATTCGTTTATGCTGAAGCCATATGACATCATCGCATTGTCAAACTTTTCATGCCATTGTTTTGGTGCTTGTTTAAGTCCATACAATGACTTCACAAGTCTACAGACTTTGTGTTCTTGTCCCGGGACTACAAATCCTTTGAGTTGTTTCATATAGATTTCTTCGTCTAATTCACCGTTTAGAAAGGCTGTTTTGACGTCCATCTGGTGGATTCCCAAATTTCTTAAGGCTGCAATTCCAATCAGCATTCCGATGGAAGTTATTCTCGTTACTGGAGAATAAGTGTCAAAGAAATCCAGACCTTCTTTTTGTCGGAATCCTTGCACTACAAGTCTAGCCTTATATTTATCAACTGAGCCATCAGTCTTCAATTTTGTTTTGAAGATCCATTTTCACCCTAGAGCTTTAAACCCTTCAGGTAACTCTGTGATTTCATAATTATGATTTTGTCTAATGGAATCCATCTCACTATTGACTGCTTCCTCCCAAAGAGGTACATCGGGAGTGGACATAGCTTCAGTAAATGTTCTTGGTTCGTTCTCAGTGAGAAAGACCATCAAGAATTCAGGACCGAAGGATTTTTCCTTACGAGCTCTTTTGCTGCGTCTAGGTTCATTCTCTTCGTCTTCTGAAGCAGGAACCCCAGATGAAGTTGCCTCATCTTCCCGATGGCGTTTTAGATTTTGTCTATTTTTTCATGGAAAAGTGTGTTCAAAAAATGAAACATTTATTGATTCCATTATTGTATTCACCTGAATATCCGGTACATCTGATTTGTGAACCAGAAACCGATAAGCACTACTGTTGCGTGCATATCCAATGAAAATACAATCAACAGTTTTTGGTCCTATGGTGACCTTTTTAGGAGGTGGCACAGCGACCTTTGCTAAGCACCCCCACACTTTCAGGTATTTGTACGAAGGTACTCTACCTGTCCATAGTTCATATGACGTTTTACCAGTTACTTTGTGCGGTATTTTGTTGAGGATATAGTTTGTAGTGAGAATTGCTTCCCCCCCCCCCACAGATTCTGGGGTAGCCCAGATTCCTGCAACATTGCATTCATCATCTCTTTAAGAGTTCGATTCTTGCGTTCCGCAACTCCATTAGATTCTGGTGAGTAGGTAGCGGTGGTCTGATGTATAATACTTTTTTCTAGACAGAAAACATTGAATGGACCATCATATTCGCCTCCTCTATCACTCCTAACAATTTTAATAGTTTTACCGAGTTGATTTTCAACTTCAGTTTTATATTCTTTGAATTTCTCCAAGACTTCATCTTTACTTCTTAGTAAATAGATGTAACAGTATCTTGTACAATCATCAATGAAAGTTACAAAATACTTTTTACCTCCTCTAGATTGTACTAACTTTAAGTCGCACAAATCTGTGTGTATGAGGCCTAGAGGTTCGGTAGTTCGATCGACATGAGGAGATGGAGTTTTTGTGAGTTTTGCTTGTACACATGTCTCACATTTATTTTTGCTTATTTTGCATTTGGGGATTAAGTTCGAATTTATTAATCTTTGTATAGATTTATAATTCACATGTCCTAATCTTTCATGCCATAAATCAAAAGACTCAACCAAGTAAGAAGATTCATTCTTATTAATTGAACTGGTAGAAGGTACATCATTTTTGAGGACAGTCATTACACACATTTTGATTAAATCCTCCTTAACATAACCATTCCCAATAAAAACCCCATGTTTCCTTAAAATCAGCTGGTTAGATCCAATGCGGACGTCGAATCCGTGCTTGTTGATCATGGTTCTAGATCAGGTTTTTCCTCATTTTTGGCACATGCTTCACATTGGTGAGGGTGACTTCTTTGCCTGAAGTCATCTTTAGGACCACATTGTCTATGCCTTCAATCTTGGAGGATGACTCATTTCCCATCAACAAGTGCGCATTGTTCTTGCATTTCTTGTAGGTTGAGAACTGGTCTTTGTCCATGCAGATGTGAGTGGTTGCACCAGTGTCATACCACCACGTTTTTGGGTTTGGCTCAACCATGTTGACTTCTGTGACCATTGCACACAGATCAGCTTGAGTCAAGTTTGCTTGGCCTTTGTTGTCCCTCAGCCTGCTTCGACATTCATTGGAGGTGTGTCCCTTCTTGTTGCAATAGGTGCACTTCCCAACAAATTTGGTTTTGGGAGTTTCCTTTTTGAAGGAAGTGGATGATGATGGAGCAAACTTGTTTTGCCTTCCTTTGGGAGGAAATTTCCCGTTGCCTTTGACTTTATGTTTTCCCTTGTTCTTGAACTCTGCTACATTTGCATTGTAGGAGTGAAATGGTTCAGGGTTGACAGGCGTGGCAGCTTTTACCTCGCGTTTCAAAGACTCATTTTGCAGCCTGGAAATCAGATTTGACAAGGTCATAGACTTCTGCTTATGATCTAGATTGTTTCTGAAATCTACCCAGCTAGGAGGTAGCTTGTCGACGAAGCAATTCACTATGAAGGTTTCAACCAAGCGGCTCTGGATGTAGCCTTTGCAAAGGAAGTCCCCATGGACCCATGCATCAACGCTTGCAACAGCGCGCACATCAGTATTCCCAGCGGGCAAAGCAGGTTTGTCCTCGGTGAGATACCTATCCAGATGCAAAGTGCATAGAAAAAAAGTGCATCTTTTGCTGCCACTGTTTGAAGTTGGTACCATCAAACTTATCCGGTGAGATACCTGCAGCGATAGCGCTGGGTAAAGTCGGAATGTTTGTGGGCAGGGATCCGAGTGCTGCATCTCCAACCGCTAAGGGTGTTGATTCAGCGACATCCTCTTCTCTTCCATCAACGGATTTCTCCACATTTTTCGACATCTGTTCCAAAAAGAGACAGAAAAAATGTCAGATTCGTTGAATAGAATCGATAGAATAGCGATTAAAAATAAGAGTCGCTAATTTATGCGTTCTGCGAAAATGCTATAGAGCGGTCGTAGAATCGCGTTAGAGTTTTGAACTCGAAAAATGTTCACGGATTTGACCGAGACGATTTACAGACACGGAAAGGAAGTTATAAAAACTGTCCTTGTGTGGTCCAGTAACGTTTCGCGTAACTTGCCAAAGGCCTTCGCGGAAACGGTTTTTTTGTTTGTTTGTAAAAACGAATCGTTTTTTCCTTAAAACGTTTTTTGAAAATCGTTTGTAAAGCAATATAGGATCCGATTCAAGCGATAAGCAGGATCGGATTATTTTGAATTAAGACTGTAGGAAGTAAATTTAGAGGAGACAAATATTGCAATATAAGAAAACGATTTGAGATACAGAAAAACGTTTTATAAAAGCGGATTAAGGAAAAACGAGAAGTGGAGGCGAGATGATCTCTTTCTTTAATTCAAAATATCTCCCGCAGTGTGGCGGTTGGATGAGATAATGAATCCCATGATACAACCACTAATATTCGTATAATCGCAGTACCCGATTATAGAATGTGATGAACTTATATTCTTCAATATACTCTCGGACACTTACTCTTGAAAGAAGAAAAGAGACGCGAGAGATTGAGGAAAGTGTGAACGATTTTTTTTTGTCTGTAAAATTTTTGAGACAAGTGAGTCCCAAATGGAAGAGGAGAAGTCGATATATATAGCGAAGGAGAGAGGAGCGTCGCACTTAATCAGCGTGTTAATGACATGATTAATTGTGCGTTAATGATGCGATTTGGGCGTTAATCTTGGCGTGATTTTCGGGATAGACATTTGACTGCAGTTTAATGTCGTGATTCTGTTAAGAATTTGAACCGAAAACTTTAGCAATTTGGACCCAAGACCCAAGACCCAAGACCCAAGACCCAAGTCCGGCTCGGCTCGGCGGCGGAGGCGGCGCGCGAGGGATCCTTGGTTCTCCTTCACACACTTTGAACTATGTCATGTGTGTGTCTATATTTATATGACACAAAAAAATTTTAATCCTCCAATGTGGGACAAAATGATGTTCCTTACATTTTAAGTTGCCTTGAAGGGCTTTATTTTTATTCACACTTGACCAAATTTTAAAGCCTTTGGGCTTTGTAATAATTTGGGTCCAACAGGGAGCTCCAAAAAACTTGAACATTCTCTAAAACTCAAGTTTTGGAGATTATTGGCATTCCAAATAGAAGAAGGGAGCTCTATCAGACTTGAACATCCACTGAGATCCAGGTAACTGAGATTAGTAGCATCTCCAATTGAGGAGGGGAGCCCCACCAGACTAGAACATCCGAACAGATTCAAATTATACATATTAGTGAGATTTCCGATAGAGTTGGGGAGCTCTACCATACCTTTGCATCCATTTAGAAACAACTGTTGGAGACTAATGATATTCCCAATAGAGGAAGGAAGTTCTACCAAACTTGAACATCCATCAACATTCAGTTGTTGGAGATTAGTGGCATTCCCAATAGAAGAAGGGAGCTTGACAAGACTTGAACATCCACTGAGACCAAAGTAATGGGGATTAGTGCCATTCCGTTGAGATTTAAATCATAGAGATTAGTAGCAGTTGAGAGATCGGGAATCCTCTTTAGGCCAGCAGAATAGTGTAAAGTCATCAACTTAAGATATCTGAGCGGCTGTTCAAACACATAAAGACAACATCCAACAACGAGTTTAGTAGTGATCAGGCATTTAAAGGCTAATATATCCCTATCTCTTTTCTTTTGAAGCTAAAGATTTGTACAAAAAGAATTCCGTACAAATAATAGTAAAATTGAAACTTGGAAAAAAATTTAGAGTGCTTACTTGAATTCCTTCCCACAATTTTTCAAGCTTGCTATAATACAATTTTATTGTCACCAGGAACTCCGGATTAACTTAGAAGGCAAACATGTCATTGGATAATTATCCCTACGTAAGATTCTAAGCTAACTCGTTTTTGTTACCATTGAATGAATCTTCCTACAAAGGCAGAAAACATTGAATGGACCATCATATTCGCCTCCTCTATCACTCCTAACAATTTTAATAGTTTTACCGAGTTGATTTTCAACTTCAGTTTTATATTCTTTGAATTTCTCCAAGACTTCATCTTTACTTCTTAGTAAATAGATGTAATAGTATCTTGTATAATCATCAATGAAAGTTACAAAATACTTTTTACCTCCTCTAGATTGTACTAAATTTAAGTCGCACAAATCTGTGTGTATGAGGCCTAGAGGTTCGGTAGTTCGATCGACATGAGGAGATGGATTTTTTGTGAGTTTTGCTTGTACACATGTCTCACATTTATTTTTGCTTATTTTTCATTTGTGATGCGTGCTCGCTACGTGAGGGAACAAGTTTTACCCTTAACAAAACAAATGAAAGCCGCAAGTGCACAGCTAATCAGTTGTAGTATTTAGGGATCGAATCCACAGAGATTTGTGTGCCTGGTATTCTTCTATGGTTTTTAACTTTATGTCTAGACTAAATTGGTTTTAAAGGTTGGTTGTTTTTCTCGAATTAAACTAAGGCAAAAGAAAGTAAATAAATCTATCCTAAAAAGCAAGTAAAGAAATCGAATGAAAGGCAATAGAACAAGTAAAATATCGAATGAAAGACTAATAAGGCAAGTAAATATCGAATGAAAGGTAAATAAACCAAGTAAATAACGAACTAAGGAAATTGAAATGTAGGTCTAAGAAAAGCAAGTAAAAATCGATGGAATTGTAAACTATGGCTAAAAACGCTGAGCTTTTGGGAACTCTAAGGGATCATAATCGGTTTTAACACTAAGGTAGATAGATTGGGATTGACGGATAACAATATATGGGTTCTAGAGCTAGAGTACGGCGGTATGACTACGTCACTGTCGTGATCATAACCAACTGTTTCTCGCAACCCTGACAAGTAGGTTTCCACTCTGGCCCTGGAAGGGAGAGAACGCAAGATCTGCACAAGACTCGTCAATACTCACGATCTCGCCGCAGGTAGGTTTCCACTCCTACGGAAAAATCGCCTGTTTCATTCTAGGGCTGATACTTAATGAAAACTTTCGCAACACTAACTATCTAGATCAGATACTAGGTGATCAATCAAGCATACATGCAATAAGAACAAGAATAAACAGAGAACAGGTCGAAATCCCAGATCTATAAACCTAGATGTCTTAATCGATTATGAGAGCCCCTTTCGGGAACCCTAAGCCCAACTCGGGATCTACTCAGACATGGCTGAGTTCGACATCATCATTGATTTTAATAAAAGTAATGAAAAACAGTAAAGAAAAGAGATAAAGAAAGCTTCTCTATTAAAGAACTCGGACTTGAACAATCTTCTACAAAAATCTCATAAAAACGGCTAAAGGAAAAGGGTTTCTGTAAAGTATGAATAGCTCTCTCTAAAAATGACCTAAATGACATGTATTTATAGTCTCTAATACTCCATGGTCTCTAGGGTTCCGGAATAGAGGCTGGGAATGACTTTGTGCTTCAGATAAGTGGGCTTTAAGTCGGAGGTTGAATGCCGCGGTCGGGAGTGTTGTGACCGCGGCAATTGGCTTGTTGGCCGCGGTCGGGAAGCTTCTGACCGCGGCAAATAGCTTGTTGGCCGCGGTCGCGTGAGTTGCTGGCCGACTCCGCGTGGCTCCGGGGCTAATGAAATATCTTGAGATCCAACCGTTGGAATGTCTCCAAACCGAGTGCATTTGAAAGCTGGTTGATTCTTCTATAAGTTGTCCAATTTTGAGGGTGATCAGACGGTGAGAAGGTCTTCGTCTCTCCATGAGAGTTCTGACGGTCTGCATTTATCCAAAAGAGTCTTTTTGTTCCATTTTGTGCCTCTTTATCCCAAATCACCTGAAAAGTCTTTTAAAATTCGGAAACATAGAAATCCTTTGAAAAACTTTGAAAATGGAGTAAAAACACCTGTAAAAGATATTAAAATGATCCATAAAAATGGTCAAAATCCGGTGTTATCAACTCCCCCAGACTTAGTCTTTTGTTTGTCCTCAAACAAAACAAAGGCTAAATCTCGGCGAGAGGTTTGAAAACGCAGGAACTAAACAAAATTTCAGAGACCAAACTTCTAGACCAATATCAATCAGTATGCATCAATCGGGAATAGCCTAGAAAATTCTCACTAGCAATACAGGCATAACTAGTCCGTTAATCCGTCATGCAGAAATCTATGCACTAAGATCTAACTTCCAGTCAACTAGCTCTTAACATTCATTAAAAATCTCGGTGGTTCTCATCAAAGAAAATCTAGGCAAGGCAATCTAGGCTAGGTGTAAAGAAAGATTATTTTGGGGGTATGGCTTAAAGTGTTTAAGGGTTACCTGAAGATCTGGAGGATGCAGGACATTATGCAAAACCGCAAGAGAGAGTGAAGCTGTTGGTATCCACAGTTTTCAGTCACTTTTTCTCGACATAGATTTGTGGTCTTCTTTCTCAAGTTCTCTCCAAACTCCCCCAGACTTAGATTTTTGTAAATCTTTCAAAACAATAGCTCCTTAAACGAATAGTGGTGGCTCATTGCTCCATAAATTTCGACAATCTAAGACTCATTAGGCTTTTTGTTTCACTTTCTCTTTTCACGTTTTTTTTTTTTTTTTTTAGAGAAAGTGAACACCTTTAGATATAGAGTCTTAGAGAGCACGAATTTACCAGTTAATATCTGTCTTGTAAAGCTTTATTATGTTTCTGATACTCTTCCTTCCCAATTCCATTCAGTCTCTTTTGCGAGTGACTAAAAACTGCGTCGCTCCTCTTCTCTCCGACGTTTTTGCACATATCTGCTGATATAAACTAAAGAAAGAATGCATGAGGATTGAAAACAAAGGTTTTGGGTTTAAGGTATGGTACCAGATAAAGATAAACTGGTCATCTAGGACGACAAAGAGTGGTAAAAGTGATGGTAAAAGACGTCCTAGATGTGTATGTCGATGCCTGCCTAAAATCAATGATGAGAAAATTAGATATGAATATTAAGTCCAAATAAAATGAGCTAGTATATCCTGTTAGAAAGAATCTCCATGAATAGAAGTCCTCTGGTGGGAGTTCGTAGTGCAAGTACTCTAGCTACCGCCTAGTCTAGTGCTAACCACAAATGAGCTATCATGCATAGTGTAGAAGTGTGCAGGTCTAAATCATCATAGTTTTGTGTCAAACATTCCTGAAAAATACTTAATGTCGAATAGGTTACATATTAAAATTTAAAAAGTACTTGAAATTTAAAAGCAAAGGCAGGAAAATAATTAGTACGGATAGACATCCTCCCCCAGACTTAAATCACACTGTCCCCAGTGTGAAAAAGTTGGTGAGAAGATGGTGAATAAAAGCAAAATAAGATAAAATAAGATAAAAGAGAAGAAAATGATGATAGAACCGTGATGGTAGTGAAGTGCTGGTCAATAACTCATCTTCTGAAGTGTCGTCTGTGAACTGGTGCTGCTCCTGTAAGAAGGTGACAACGTGCTCAAAGCGTCGTCCCTGTCTCTCAACTCTGCGCTCCAGATCGGAATGAGTGTGTGATGATGTGGATGATGAGGCGTGGTCGGTCGGGATGGATGGCTGAAAATGAGTACGGGCCGCAGCTGCATCACGCCTCGCCTTGGCCACTATGCACTGGCCAATGGTGAATGGTAATCGAGGTATGGATGGCAGAAAATCATCGGATTCCGGAGTCAATCGAGGGCGTCCTCCGTTGCACAATCTCAGGATAGATGATGAAGGTAAGCGGACTCGGTGCTCCTCAGTGCCAGTGCAATACTTGTAACCAAACCTGTCTGGATCGAAAGCGGCACGAGAGATAGTGTGATCGCGAGAGAGATAAAGTAGATCATACCAGACATCGAGAAGTGGATCATCAGATGAGAAATCGAATCCTACAGCCTGTAGTATCGCTGTAATAGCACTCCCGAAGGCTGGAGTAGCGTCATCGCAACCATGTAAATCATGCTTCACCTTTACCATATTCTGCGATATGATCCAGGCAAAGCAGGCAAGTCGTGGGTCATCCATAAACGGAATCTGAAGTGTAATGAGCTCAGTCTTCAAGACACCTCCCATGTTGGCTCTAGAGAAGATCGTGTGTGCTAAAAGTTTGTGCACAACTCTCACTGCTGGGTGGCTAAGAAGGGCTGACTTAGATCTCCCACTATCGTAAGCTCCATTACCCATCTCTCTCCATAGGTTAAGATCAGGTTCATCTTCAAGGTAGATGCCATCAGTGTACAGAGCTTCACAAACCTCGGAAATGGTGAGAGAATAAGGCTGTCCGCGGATGGAGAATGACGAGATGCCATCTGATGCTCTGGGGTTCCTCCTCTTCGTGTGGTGAAGTGTGACGGTCGCTAAAAGCTCACGGACTAGCTCAGGATAAGTCGGAAGGTTCAGCTCCAAGTAGGGTCTCAGCTTAAGTGCATCGATGTACCAGATCACATCCTCTCTGATTCCAAGCATCTCGAGTGTATGATAATCAATGCAAGGCGTGGGTTTGATGTTCAGCTTCTTGAAACGCCTTGCATAGTCCACTCTCGGGTTTGTCTCCCTCCCAATGTATCGAATCTGTGGTGGTTCGAGAGGTGCTCGTGTTTCTCTTGAATGCTGGAGCAATCTCATCACATAGCTTCTTCTTCTCGGTCTGGCTTGGTTCAGCATGTACTATCCTAGAGTAGCATCGTCGGGAATATCATCGGAGCTGCCACCAGTTCGACGGCTCCTTCGGGATCTGGTTTCATCCATTTTCTGCAAAATGAAATGATTATTGGAAAAAGAGTGAATTTTGGATGCTAATTTTAACACATTAAGATCTGTTATACTAATACTAGTATAAAGAGATTAATTAAAATTATTAGCAAACAAAATTGATATTAAATCAGAGAAATCAAGTAGTTCATGACTAAATTCGGATTTTTGATGTTCTCAACATAGAAATCTTCTGAAAATCGGTTTTTATGAGCAATTTCCATGTGAATTCTAAAGATTACCCAATACTAATCACTAATCACACAAGACTAAATCAAATTCATCAATTTTGCTGTTCCAAATTCGATTTTTATGAAGCATGAAGAATCCAAATTTCAAAAATCTCAATTTCTCTTAAGCTAGGTGCTAAAATCGATTTTTAGATAACCTAAATGGATAATCTATCATTCTTAAGCTATTTCCACCATCAATAGACCAAGATTCTGGGTTTTTAAAGAAAACCCTAAGTTCAAAATCGAGTAAGAATGGTGAGTTTGAGGTTCATACCTTGCTGGAAAGAGAGAATTGATGGCAGAATTGAAATCAGCTTCGAAAAAGAGTGAGGTTTGAGCCAAAAATCTCTTAAAAAGCTTAAAAGTTGAAAATGTGTTCTTTCTCCTAAATCTCTAAGTCTTTTGGAAGAGAAGAGAAGAAAGAGTTTTGATCCAAAAAGTTTGTTTCTTTTCTTTAAAAAGCGTTTTTGAAGCAAAAACGGAAAATTTCTGGAAATTTTTAAGTTTACGGGAACTTACCTTTTCTTGTTTGCACATTAGGAAAGTTTAAAACTTACGGAGGATCTTTTCGGGTTTTACCGGGAACATTTCGGAAAACACCAGGAATCACCGGAAATCACCAGGTAACACCAGGTAAACACCGAAAAACGGCAGGAATCCGCGGCGTCTCCTCAACGACCAACGGCCGCGGTCAGGAGACGCGCAACCGCGGTGGCTGAGGGCTCGGCCGCGGTCACATTCACGGTGCCCCGGTCGATGCTCCTTTGGCCGCGGTTCCGTCTGTTGCGACCGCGGGTCTTCCTCCTGCGGCCTATTGTCCAATCTTGTCGTCTTTGCCGGGCCGAGCAGCTAAAGACCTACCTTTTTCTCCTTGGTTTTTGTAATTTTCTGATTTTTTTTTTTGTGTTTTTGTTTTATAAAATTCCTTACTTAAAAAGAAAAAGAAAACATAAATTCTAAAAAGGAAAAGAAAACTAAAAGAAAGAGTACCTAAATGGGTTGCCTCCCATTAAGCGCTTTTGTTTTAAGTCGTTTAGCTCGACGTAAGCATTAGGAATCAGGCTGATTTAAATGGCACTCCACTTGATGTGCCCTTATCACTTCCGGTTGCTGGAGGTTTTACTTCTTCTCCATCTTGTCGAGCATGATCACCTTCTGTGTGATCATTCTCTTCGTTTTCTCCATGTTCAGACCCGTCTTGGTCCATATGTAAATTTCGATTAATAGGATCTCTAGGCTGGTCGTCGTTGGTGATTCCTTGCGTTCGTCTAAGTCTTCGAAGTTCTCTTTCGTGTCTGTCTATCTCGTCTAGAATTGGAATGTCTCCTGCAGGTCTACGCCTGGTATTCATGCAATTCAGAGAAAAACAAAAGAAGGGAAAGATAGTTCAGAAAAAACTTTAAGAAAGAACTAGAGATCATGTGTCTAGAACAGAATTTAAAACAAGAAAAATAGCAAAAGGCAGCGAAACAAATCCCCGGCAACGGTGCCAAAAACTTGATGCGTGCTCGCTACGTGAGGGAACAAGTTTTACCCTTAACAAAACAAATGAAAGCCACAAGTGCACAGCTAATCAGTTGTAGTATTTAGGGATCGAATCCACAGAGATTTGTGTGCCTGGTATTCTTCTACGGTTTTTAACTTTATGTCTAGACTAAATTGGTTTTAAAGGTTGGTTGTTTTTCTCGAATTAAACTAAGGCAAAAGAAAGTAAATAAATCTATCCTAAAAAGCAAGTAAAGAAATCGAATGAAAGGCAATAGAACAAGTAAAATATCGAATGAAAGACTAATAAGGCAAGTAAATATCGAATGAAAGGTAAATAAAGCAAGTAAATAACGAACTAAGGAAATTGAAATGCAGGTCTAAGAAAAGCAAGTAAAAATCGATGGAATTATAAACTATGGCTAAAAACGCTGAGCTTTTGGGAACTCTAAGGGATCATAATCGGTTTTAACACTAAGGTAGATAGATTGGGATTGACGGATAACAATATATGGGTTCTAGAGCTAGAGTATGGCGGTATGACTACGTCACTGTCGTGATCATAACCAACTGTTTCTCGCAACTCTGACAAGTAGGTTTCCACTCTAGCCCTGGAAGGGAGAGAACGCAAGAGCTGCACAAGACTCGTAAATACTCACGATCTCGCCGCAGGTAGGTTTCCACTCCTACGGAAAAATCGCCTGTTTCATTCTAGGGCTGATACTTAATGAAAACTTTCGCAACACTAACTATCTAGATCAGATACTAGGTGATCAATCAAGCATACATGCAATAAGAACAAGAATAAACAGAGAACAGGTCGAAATCCCAGATCTATAAACCTAGATGTCTTAATCGATTATGAGAGCCCTTTTCGGGAACCCTAAGCCCAACTTGGGATCTACTCAGACATGGCTGAGTTCGACATCATCATTGGTTTTAATAAAAGTAATGAAAAACAGTAAAGAAAAGAGATAAAGAAAGCTTCTCTATTGAAGAACTCGGACTTGAAAAATCTTCTACAAAAATCTCATAAAAACGGCTAAAGCAAAAGGGTTTCTGTAAAGTATGAATAGCTCTCTCTAAAAACGACCTAAATGACATGTATTTATAGTCTCCAATACTCCATGGTCTCTAGGGTTCCGGAATTGAGGCTGGGAATGACTTTGGGCTTCAGATAAGTGGGCTTTAAGTCGGAGGTTGAATGCCGTGGTCGGGAGTGTTGTGACCGCGGCAATTGGCTTGTTGGCCGCGGTCGGGAAGCTTCTGACCGGGCAAATAGCTTGTTGGCCGCGGTCGCGTGAGTTGCTGGCCGACTCCGCGTGGCTCCGGGTCTAATGGAATATCTTGAGATCCAACCGTTGGAATGTCTCCAAACCAAGTGCATTTGAAAGCTGGTTGATTCTTCTATAAGTTGTCCAATTTTGAGGGTGATCAGACGGTGAGAAGGTCTTCGTCTCTCCATGAGAGTTCTGACGGTCTGAATTTATCCAAAAGAGTCTTTTTGTTCCATTTTGTGCCTCTTTATCCCAAATTACCTGAAAAAACTTTTAAAATCCGGAAACATAGAAATCCTTTGAAAACCTTTGAAAATGGAGTAAAAACACCTGTAAAAGATATTAAAATGATCCATAAAAATGGTCAAAATCCAGTGTTATCAATTTGGGGATTAAGTTCGAATTTATTAATCTTTGTATAGATTTATAATTCACATGTCCTAATCTTGCATGCCATAAATCAAAAGACTCAACCAAGTAAGAAGATTCATTCTTATTAATTGAACTGGTAGAAGGTACATCATTTTTGAGGACAGTCATTACACACATTTTGATTAAGTCCTCCTTAACATAACCATTCCCAATAAAAACCCCATGTTTCCTTAAAATCAGCTGGTTAGATCCAATGCGGACGTCGAATCCGTGCTTGTTGATCATGGTTCTAGATCAGCTTTTTCCTCATTTTTGGCACATGCTTCACATTGGTGAGGGTGACTTCTTTGCCTGAAGTCATCTTTAGGACCACATTGCCTATGCCTTCAATCTTGGAGTATGACTCATTTCCCATCAACAAGTGCGCATTGTTCTTGCATTTCTTGTAGGTTGAGAACTGGTCTTTGTCCATGCAGATGTGAGTGGTTGCACCAGTGTCATACCACCACGTTTTTGGGTTTGGCTCAACGATGTTGACTTCTGTGACCATTGCACACAGATCAGCTTGAGTCAAGTTTGCTTGGCCTTTGTTGTCCCTCAGCCTGCTTCGACATTCATTGGAGGTGTGTCCCTTCTTGTTGCAATAGGTGCACTTCCCAACAATTTTGGTTTTGGGAGTTTCCTTTTTGAAGGAAGTGGATGATGATGGAGCAAACTTGTTTTGCCTTCCTTTGGGAGGAAATTTCCCGTTGCCTTTGACTTTATGTTTTCCCTTGTTCTTGAACTCTGCTACATTTGCATTGTAGGAGTGAAATGGTTCAGGGTTGACAGGCGTGGCAGCTTTTACCTCGCGTTTCAAAGACTCATTTTGCAGCCTGGAAATCAGATTTGACAAGGTCATAGACTTCTGCTTATGATCTAGATTGTTTCTGAAGTCTACCCAGCTAGGAGGTAGCTTGTCGACGAAGCAATTCACTATGAAGGTTTCACAGATCTTCATTCCTTCATCAGTGATTTCTTGACAAATCATCTGAAGTTCATGGACTTGTTCCATGATGGGCCTTGAGTCCACCATCATGTACCTCGTAAATTTGGAGGTTGCATACCTTCCAGAGGATACATTGAAAGTCTTGTACTTCTTATCCAAAGCTTCCCAGAGATCCTTGGATGACTTGATTTCGCAATAGAAATTGAATAATTGGTCAACCAAGCGGCTCTGGATGTAGCCTTTGCAAAGGAAGTCCCCATGGACCCATGCATCAACGCTTGCAACAGCGCGCACATCAGTATTCCCAGCGGGCAAAGCAGGTTTGTCCTCGGTGAGATACCTATCCAGATGCAAAGTGCATAGAAAAAAGTGCATCTTTTACTGCCACTGTTTGAAGTTGGTACCATCAAACTTATCCGGTGAGATACCTGCAGCGATAGCGCTGGGTAAAGTCGGAATGTTTGTGGGCAGGGATCCGAGTGCTGCATCTCCAACCGCTAAGGGTGTTGATTCAGCGACATCCTCTTCTCTTCCATCAACGGATTTCTCCACATTTTTCGACATCTGTTCCAAAAAGAGACAGAAAAAATGTCAGATTCGTTGAATAGAATCGATAGAACAGCGATTAAAAATAAGAGTCGCTAATTTATGCGTTCTGCGAAAATGCTATAGAGCGGTCGTAGAATCGCGTTAGAGTTTTGAACTCGAAAAATGTTCACGGATTTGACCGAGACGATTTACAGACACGGAAAGGAAGTTATAAAAACTGTCCTTGTGTGGTCCAGTAACGTTTCGCATAACTTGCCAAAGGCCTTCGCGGAAACGGTTTTTTTTTGTTTGTAAAAACAAATCGTTTTTTCCTTAAAACGTTTTTTGAAAATCATTTGTAAAGCAATATAGGATCCGATTCAAGCGATAAGCAGGATCGGATTATTTTGAATTAAGACTGTAGGAAGTAAATTTAGAGGAGACAAATATTGCAATATAAGAAAACGATTTGAGATACAGAAAAACGTTTTTTAAAAGCGGATTAAGGAAAAACGAGAAGTGGAGGCGAGATGATCTCTTTCTTTAATTCAAAATATCTCCCGCAGTGTGGCGGTTGGATGAGATAATGAATCCCATGATACAACCACTAATATTCGTATAATCGCAGTAACCGATTATAGAATGTGATGAACTTATATTCGTCAATATACTCTCGGACACTTACTCTTGAAAGAAGAAAAGAGATGCGAGAGATTGAGGAAAGTGTGATCGATTTTTTTTTGTCTGTAAAATTTTTGAGACAAGTGAGTCCCAAATGGAAGAGGAGAAGTCGATATATATAGCGAAGGAGAGAGGAGCGTTGCACTTAATCAGCGTGTTAATGACGTGATTAATTGTGCATTAATGACGCGATTTGGGCGTTAATCTTGGCGTGATTTTCGGGATAGACATTTGACTGCAGTTTAATGTCGTGATTCTGTTAAGAATTTGAACCGAAAACTTTAGCAATTTGGACCCAAGACCCAAGACCCAAGACCCAAGACCCAAGACCCAAGCCCGGCTCGGCTCGGCGGCGGCGGCGGCGCGCGAGGGATCCTTGGTTCTCCTTCACACACTTTGAACTATGTCATGTGTGTGTCTATATTTATATGACACAAAAAAATTTCAATCCTCCAATGTGGGACAAAATGATGTTCCTCATATTTTAAGTTGCCTTTATTTTTATTCACACTTGACCAAATTTTAAAGCCTTTGGGCTTTGTAATAATTTGGGTCCAACAGGGAGCTCCAAAAAACTTGAACATTCTCTAAAACTCAAATTTTGGAGATTATTGGCATTCCAAATAGAAGAAGGGAGCTCTATCAGACTTGAACATCCACTGAGATCCAGCTAACTGAGATTAGTAGCATCTCCAATTGAGGAGGGGAGCCCCACCAGACTAGAACATCCGAACAGATTCAAATTATACATATTAGTGAGATTTCCGATAGAGTTGGGGAGCTCTACCATACCTTTGCATCCATTTAGAAACAACTGTTGGAGACTAATGATATTCCCAATAGAGGAAGGAAGTTCCACCAAACTTGAACATCCATCAACACTCAGTTGTTGGAGATTAGTGGCATTCCCAATAGAAGAAGGGAGCTTGACAAGACTTGAACATCCACTGAGACCTAAGTAATGGGGATTAGTGCCATTCCCAATAGATGGGAGTTCTAGTAGACTTGAACATCCGTTGAGATTTAAATCATAGAGATTAGTAGCAGTTGAGAGATCGGGAATCCTCTTTAGGCCAGCAGAATAGTGTAAAGTCATCAACTTAAGATATCTGAGCGGCTGTTCAAACACATAAAGACAACATCCAACAACGAGTTTAGTAGTGATCAGGCATTTAAAGGCTAATATATCCCTATCTCTTTTCTTTTGAAGCTAAAGATTTGTACAAAAAGAATTCCGTATAAATATTAGTAAAATTGAAACTTGGAAAAAAATTTAGAGTGCTTACTTGAATTCCTTCCCACAATTTTTAAGCTTGCTATAATACAATTTTATTGTCACCAGGAACTCCGGATTAACTTAGAAGGCAAACATGTCATTGGATAATTATCCCTACGTAAGATTCTAAGCTTTGGAGGGATAGTTTAGACCTTGTGGTAAGTGCAATATTTTGCGATCATTACCGTAACCACAGTGGAAGCTTAAAAACTGAAGACTAGGCATTTCTTCAAATGCTCTCTCACTTATATTCTGGTCGTTCTTGATAGTAGAAAAGTCAAATTTTATGCCTATAACGCTCCTACTGCCCTGAAAAAGAACACAATATATGAGTAAAGAATGCTAGCTATCATTTGAAATATAAAAAAATGTCTAGGAATAAGGGGAAATGAAGGATAAATGACAAACTTACTGTATTATCAGTGAGTACTTCACAAATATCCTTAGCATCAACTAAAAACTGACGTTTCCCAGGCTCATAAATGGATTGGTTACGAACGATTTCTCTACCAAGTTGGATTAGTAGATTATGCATTGGGAAATGTTTATGGTTGGATATGAGAGATCTCTGAACTAAGACCCTAATTCCTTGCCACACATCTGAGAATTTGTGTCGAAGAGTATCTTCAAAGAGATGATTAATGCCTTCGTCGTTGAAAAAACAGGCTATATGGAGAAATAAGTCTTTGTCTTCTTCGTCTAAGGCATCATAACTGAACTTTAAAATGCTCCTAATTTCTCCATCAAGGCGAATCCTTAACCTTGGTAGTTCTCTTTTCCACTCTTGCTTGGACATTCCCTGGAAATGAGAACCCATAACTCTTAATTGCCAAAGGGAGCTTACCAGCAAGTATTGTAACTTCTGTGGCAAGATCCTTGAAACCATCATAGGGGAGATTCTGACCAAACGCATTCATGCACAAGATTCGAAAAGCCTCATCAAATGGTGGAAAATTGACTTTGTAGATATGTTTGATCTCAGATGCCTTCAATAGCTTTTTATTTTGTGTTGTGATAATAGTTCGAGTTCCAGGACCGAGCTTTAGGAATGGCACGTAATTGTACTAATTGATCGACCCCATCAAGAACAAGAAGCACTTTTTTGTTCTTCAAGAAATTTTGTGCTGCTCCTAAATGAGGAATCTTGAAATCCTCTTGGTTGAGTAATTGAGATAAAAACTGTTGCTCTAACAGCAACTTCACATCGTGGTCATCAGAAGAAGTTGGTCTTGCATAACTTGGTTTGAATTTCATGAATATACTCAGTTCAAAACCATAGGAGATTTGATTATGTAGAATTCTAGCAATGGTAGTCTTACCAATTCCAGAAGGACCCAAAATCCCAATGGTCCTCCTTTCATCTAAGCCTAGGCAAAGCAACTCTTTCATCTAAGCCTAGGCAAAGCAACTCTTTCATCTTTTCGATATGAGCTCCCATCCCAATTAAACCTTCGAAATCACTTGATGGCGTGGAATTCATCAACCTTTTAAAAATTTCGGTGACAATATTTTCAATCATGACTGCGTCATTATCCCTTCAAAAGAAAAAAAAAAAAAAGATCAATACATCCGTTAAAAAGTCATAAAAATTCACATATACATAGCTATTAAAGATAAATAGGAGAGAATCGGCGAGCATGCGTTGGATTTTGTTTTAATTTATATTAGGATACTGGATGTGTGGGCTTGAATGTTTTTATAAATTTTAATTGTATTGGGTATATTGTTAAATTTATTGAGTCGAATTTTATAAAATTGATAATTGACAGTGTGTGTGGGTACGGTATTACCATATTTGGGCCGAATGGTATGTTATTAGTTCAAGAATTGGATTGTGTCTTACAATTGGCTATACTTTTTTGATGTAAATATAAACTAATAAGTGATGTATAACTGATTAAATAATTATAATTAGGTATATATAATGAAGAAAGTGTAGATGAAAATAAATGTAATTATGAATATATACATTAATTTTATGTTCGTAAATCGTAAGTTATTCATCGAAATGTGACATATATGAACATATTTTATAAATTATATGCGAAGATGTATTCATTTATTTCGAAATGTAGATTCATTTGGAAATGGTGATAAATCAGTCAAATGTTATTTAATATGTTGTAATTATAAACGACTTTTGGGGAATATGAAACAGAGCGAAGAAAATTGAGGAGCCACTCTCTAAGAATTCTATATATACACCCCATAAGAGAATTTTGATCAACTAACCAAGTAAACAATTAGTCACTCAAACACAACCAATACTACAATTATTCTTTTGATGTGATCCTCAGACAGACGTACAAAAAATATGTTTACTTGAAAGAAAAATACACTTTTTCCTACATAATATTTCTTGTGCATCTGTCGAGAATCACATCAGAAAAAGTTGTTATATTCATTGTGTCGCCACAGAGTTATTATAATTATATTACTTTGAATGCTTACTTTCGACAGGAAGTATACTGTTAGTAACTTATACCAAAATCTGGATAGAGTAGAAATACAAGTAATTTTGATCAGTAGATAATGAGAAATGTATACTGTTTTCCATAAGTTTTTGCTATTATTGATTTTTTATTATTCACTGGAATTTTTAGGAAAAACTGTCCTTGCTTATGTAGGAAATTGTTCTTTACATCGAATGAGATCCAATATTGTGTAAGACATAAAAAACCTTTTAATTGGTATTTTTTAATTTGAAAATATTACAATTTTCTAAATTATCAGGAATGTTAGATTTATTATATCTCATCGCAGCAATTATCTAAAATAACAACAAATCGCATTTTTCTAGATTATGTATTTCATTTAAATTTGAAATTTAAAAAGTTGATCAATTTTATTAGAGATTTCCAAAATTTGAGATATATTTTATCTTATTAACAACTAAGTTACGATTAATCCGCATCAACAATACATTAAACTTACAATTATAACAGTTTATTAACTAAATTATAAATTATAAGTTACGGTATATTTAATGAAATGTTAATTGGTTGACTGTTGTATTAATTATGTAATATGTAACGATGGAAAATGTAGTATTTAGTAGATGATTTACCTTACTATTTCAGATATTCAACATAAAAAGTAATTTAAAAATTTAAGACGAAGAAAAACAAAAAATGAAAGTAACTTATTGAAATAAAGATTCAGCATGCAATTTTAAAACTAATATTAAGAAAGACATAAATCTAATAGACCGGGAATAAGCCTATGGCATAGCAAGCTTCTCTGAAGGTGTCGTATACAACACCATTAACTGTTCGGATATCTTCATAACTGCGACCTCTAATGATATTCAACAGACAACCCAAATAAAAATTTTTCCCATCATAAATTGAATACTGTTGAAGAATAGTTAGATTTCCTGAACCCTTCACCCGTGGCCTCCACTCATGCAATGTGGCATTCCAGACAAATTGATGAGATAATTCAGTGTAGAGCATGAATTTGGCAGTTGGGTATATCTTGTTACACTCCATCCAAGCAATAAATTTTGTATTTTTTATTAGTTTGTCCACCTTGTTTCGCTTGAGAGAATTTGTTCTTGGTATATGAAATTGAATAATTTCTAAACAATCATAAGAACTTGTTAAAACAGTTAAAAGGAAACAAATAATGTATGATAAGAAGTTATAAATGTTAAGTCTCTATAGTTCTATACCAAGGATTCTTCATAGAATAAAGTTGGACGCAGAAGGATTACCTATCCTGTTCATAGCAGTAGAAATAAAGAATATTGAGAATTTTTTTTCATTGGTAACAAATGAAGTTGCAGTTCACAAAAGTATGATGTGAATATATAGATGGATTAAATAGGGTATACACGAATATACAAATAAGTTAAAGATTGCAATATGCATCTCGTTATAGAAAGTAACAACAATATATCAATATCCTTCATATTATATTTTTAAAAATCCAGAATATATGGTTAGATAATTCAATTTATAAATAATTGCTTCATAAGAATATTAGTTCGAAATTATCGGAGCACAATATTATGTTACCATAAATTGCGGTTTAAATCAAACTGTAAAGAGGAAAATCTAAAATTTTAAACATTTTTGTATGAGACAAGTTATGTGAATTAGACGAAGAAGACTTGTGTAAATATTATGTCTATTTATCAAAAGCGAAAGTGAAAAAGTCAAACAGGTTGGTTGAAACAATATTCCCAAGAAAACATAGAAATGAGGTGACATTGAATATTTTATAACTACCCTATCCTATATAAAATATGAGGTAGCTTCTATTATAAAAATACTTATTAAATTTACTCTGCAACCCTAAACGCCTGATAAGAGATTAGACAAAAATGGAGAATCACCAAGAAAAACGTTATGATGAAAACGGATTACTAAAAATTAATCCACCACCATTGAACATGAGATTTGGTGTGGAAGAAACACCATCACCTCCTCCAATTTCTGAATCAGAGATAGAGCAAAATAATATGTGGGAAGAGATGATTGACTTTCTGAGCAAATCAACTGCGAAAGTCATCGAGGTTCCTTCTGAGGTAATTTAAACTTTAAATTATTCCGTTTTATTGATGATTTCTGTATTATTGGATGTTCATATCAATATGTAATATCTGCAGCTTGATGAAAAAAAATCGACTGATGATCCAAAGGAACGTTGCAAGAACGGAAAACACGATCTCCATCTAGATATGGAGATAGGTTTGAAATGTATAGAATGCGGCTTCGTTAAGACAGAAATCTGCTACTTAGATACATCTCCGTGGGTAAGCTATTAATATCCCATTAATACATTGATTTGTTTAACCAATATGTTTGAAGTTAACTACATAATATGTTTTTGAATATTGTAGGCATATAAGAATAAACGTGGAAGGAGAAACTTCGAATTTTAGCTAATATTATCTCTGTTTTTTTGTACCTTAATTATCTTCAATAAAATAAAAATAATTATTCTCCCAATTCACTTTCTCATATATGTGTATTGATTCGTAAGATTATAAGCTCAACTGCTACATTGATTATAATCCACAAACATTAAAGCATAGGCAACTGAATATAATATTTGACAATCAAGTCCAAAGGTAATGAGAAAAGCTTAACAGTAGTTGTCAGCACAGAAATGCAAACGTCAATCAGAATTAATTTAAAATTACTCTTACACATAAGTTGTTAATAGATCAATTGTGAGCATTGGACCAAAAAAAAAAAAACTTTCTGAATTTCACTTGATTGATCTAACTTTTTTTTTATTTCAATTTTTCTCTATACTTTTGACATTCTCTTATCTTCTTGAATATTATATTTTTTATGTGTTGTAGTGATACGATCCTCCCAAGGATTTGCACTTGCTCGTTTGGTAGAGGTTGATAAACTCGGCCAGATCGGTTTGATCGGAGAAGTGCTAAGGGGTGAGGGATTGCCTCGAAGGTCCTTAGGCCCAACTCGCGAGAAACAGAACTGATCAAGGGATGAAAACACCAAGTGTTGATCTCGCGGGTCAAGGATGAACAGGCGTGAGACTTGATCTCGAAAATCCTGTTGCCCCTAAACTATTTTGAACGAAATCGAAAACAAGATATAAGGAAGGCTGCGTCGAATCCTATGGATTGAATCCGATAAACCAGATAGAAACTTTCAAGGCTAGCCACCTAAGAAAGGAAAACTCAGAAAGAACAAGAAAAAATCTCGATTTTATTGATAAAAAGGTGAATGATCAATTACAAAGAAGTTTGGCCTTTATATAGAGGCGCATAGAAGTGCAAAAGACAAAAAAAAATTAAATGAAAAACAATGAATGCGTTGAATGACCACTCGGCTCCTTTGGATATCCTTTCGGCTTCTTTTGCGCGAGTGACCATTGATCTCCCATAACGGCTAATTAACAAACTCGGATAAGGAAGATGTGGCCCCTTAACCTCATTAAAATCCCATCCGGTAAACCCAGTGGGACAAACCCGGATGCAAGGAAAAAGAGTGTCAAGGAGCTACACCGTCCGAGTAGGTCAAAAGCGTTACGGCTCGGTCGTTAAGTGTAGCGTCCGTGGACTTGGCCTTCAGCTCGGTACATAACCTCCAAATGACCATGGACAGCTTCTTAGCTCGGGACCGTGTAATTGGACCAGTGAGCTCGGCTAAATCCATGCTTGGGTCGTCCACTTCGTTGGTCTTCCTGTCCGGAACCTCCACCTCGCTTAGCTCGGCCACTTGGTCGTGATTTCCGGTGTGGACTTGTTTCCGGCCCGACCCTCAGTTTGCACCTCGTCCATGCTCGTATCATGTAGTTTTATAGTTATTTTTATTCTAAATTTATACTTTAATATTTTTTATTTAACATAGTAAAATATAGATTAAATAATTTATATCTATTTATGTTGTTTAATGAATTACTTGTTAAAAAAAATTGACCAATAAGGGGACGCTGATGTGTCGACGCTTCGTAGAATATTAAATCTACTTATTAGACCGGATTCTACATTATTGTAGAATAGTTATTCTACATATGATCTTCATTCTACATTACTATAGAATAGGTATTCTACCAAATTCTGTGAAAATCTAGAAAAATTGGTTAACATCCAGACTGAATATTTTTGAAAATTTTTTAATTTTTTTTCCACATTTATTATCTATTTTGTTTTACGTTTTTTGTTTTTTTTTTGCTGTCATCGCTATCTTCTTTTTCTTTTCCATTGATCAAACAGTTTTTTTTCTAAATTTATCTATCTTTTGTTTCAAACATGCTACATATCTATGTCACTTTTGGTTTATAAAAATCAGGGACAGATAAGAAGTGGATTTTTGTGACTGAAAAAAACGAGTTAGTTTAGTTACTGATGAATTAAAAAAACAGTGAAGAACGTTGTTGCGGTTGAAGGAAGTTTGTACATAAATTACACAATGTTGAGAGAATAGATGGAAAAAGCTCTCGTTGAGATATTAGGAGAAGAAATGAGACAATAACAGACATTTATTTTTGGAATAAATATAATTAAATTTTAAACATATATTAATAATTAATTATATGAACATTTAAGGGTAAATTTGGGTTAATATTAATATAAATATTAAAGGGACGAATATTTTTTATAAAACATTAAGAAGACAAATTTGGTTTGAATTTGCATTATAAAAGTAATTATTCCTTGTTTTTTTCCTTCATTTTATTGATTGAATTTTTTCATTAGTTCAAAGATTAAGATTAAATCACATGAAAAATAAAATAAGAAGACAGTCACTATAATTTAATAAAATTAAATTTCATTTATTCTAAATTTATACTTTAATATTATTAATTTAACATAGTTAAATGTAAATTAGATAGTAAATATATGTATATCAGTGTTGTTTGATAGATTTTCTTTAGTTTTATTGTTCTTATTTGTTATTCTTCAGTTGTTTTTTTAACATATTATTTTCAGTTTTTGGCTCATAATTTATTTTTAACCATTTTACATTTTTTATGATTTTAATAACTATTTGCATATTTTCCGAGTTTCTTCATTTAAATCTTTACATAAAAATAATTTTGAACTTTATCAATTTATCATTTTCATATTTATTATTACATATATGTCATTGAATTCATCTTTCCAATCAGTACCTCTAATAATTTGTATATTTATTTGTTGTTATATTTTTTTTCTTTTCTATCATTTTTTTATTTTAATAATCTTTTGCATAGTTTTGAATTTCTTCATTTAAATCTTCACATAAAAATAATTTTGAACTTTTTCGATTTATAATTTTCATAATTATTATTACATATATATCATTGAATCCATCTTTACAATCAGTACCTTTAAATTTGTATATTTATTTGTTGTTATATTTTTTTTCTTTTCTATCATTTTTCTCTATACTTTTGACATTCTCTTACTTTCTTGATTATTATATTTTTTTTGTCAAGATTATTATATTTTTTATGTGTTGTAATTTTATAGTTATTATTATTCTAAATTTTATAATTTATTTTTCATTTAACATGTAAAATTTAATGAAATAATTTATATCTATTTATGCTGTTTAATGAATTACTTATTAAAAAAATTAATCAATAAAGGGGCACTGATGGATCGATGCTAGAAAGCCCCAATTCTCTCTGTATATATTAGATAACTATCCAGATCCTTATGATTATTTGATACAATTATTCTCTCTGATTTCTTTTTATGATTCTCTCATTTATTATATGATTCTGTAGCTCTCCTATATATAGCTTTGTAATTCTCATCATATGAAATAACACAACACAATATATTTAATAATATAGCTTGATGTGTTGAAAGATTAAGAGCAAGTAGAAGTCAAAAGGACAAACCAGTTTCTTAAGTCGTAACCAGCTATTGTGGCCACTTCCGCAACAGCTTGTCTCCATCTCCCGATCTCTTCCTTTGTTTTACTAGCACAGGTTTTCTCAAAGACAGCTCCAAATTCTCCGCTAAGCTTTTTTACATGGGATGGATCAACTTCATAGAAAATGGCAAACACTATTTGACCCAACTCCTTCTTGCAATTCATAATTTCCACCAATTCGTCAAGACACCACTTTGAAGAAGCATAGTTCCTTGAGAGCAGTACGATTGCAATCTTAGATCTTCTAATTGCCCGTATTAGTTCAGGACCAATGGATTCTCCTCTCTTGATCTCATTATCAATGAATGGAGTGATTCCCTTTCTCCAAAATTCCTTTTGAAAGTGACTGAGAAAGTTTCTGCGTACATCTTCACCGCGGAAGCTTGAAAAGACATCATATGTGCATTTGCAAGACAAAGACGATGGAGGAGACCAAGAAGATGGGTGAGATGAAGAAGATAAAGAAGATGGAGGAGATGAAGAAGATAAAGAAGGTGGAGGTGATGAAGAAGACGAATCCAAATCTTTGTTTCCTTGAAAATATCTGAATTTTCTATAAACCATGAAAAATGGTATACCCATAAGCATGAAGAAGCCTATTGCAGCAACAGAAACCGTGAAGAAAAAAAGAAGAATCCATTAGCATAAAATTGATCGAGGATCAAGATCACATAGAATTTTGTAGTTCTTAGAAAGCTATGCGGACGATGAAATGACAAAGAGGCTTTTTATCTATTGAACTTCTAATCTTCACTTGATTAACGGAGAGAGAATGCTAAGTAGCAAAGAGAAGAAGCTAGTGTTTTGCTTTGAAAAATAATGGGATACAAAAACGAGAATTATAAAGTAACGAAATTTTAAGAGAATATATACATACAAAAATAACCAAGAGGGCATAAACTAAGCATCTAGATTAAGACAATGCATAAGTCTTTTGGATGCTTCAAGACTCCACATGCATCGACACAAAGACAATTGCTCCGAAAATAAATCTCACTTAGAAGAATCTCAAGTTGGAGATTGTCTGGTTCGGAACTTTTGGCATGTACGAAAGCAAGGGCACAAAAAAACAAAAGCGATTTTGGATTGATACCTTAGTGTCGATGAAATCGACCCACAACCTAACGTCCTGACCATTTAAGTAAATTTTAGAAGCTAGGTTACGTAGCAAGTTATATATATATATATATTTTTTAACTTACTTTTATTTCCTTGTCACCCCTTTTAATGGGATATCATTTGGAGCTACATCAAAAGAACCAAGACCATGACGCCAAGGAAAAGGAAACACAGAGCAACAACGATTACCAGCTAATAGCGAATAAAAGTAAGAATTTCGAAAATATATAAATCGAGTGATGAGCAGAGCAGACCAGAGAGGGAAACCGATAGAAAAACGCGGACACTAAGGAGCGGGATGATTCAAAAAGTGAATGTACCTGAACCAGGTCGAGAGGTAGGAGAGATTGGACGCTGATGAAGAATGAGCAGAAGACAAAATCAGCGAAGCATCAAGACCGGCGAGCCTTGTACGCAAGGTAGATTGAATCTCTCGAATAATCTGAGCTGTAGGCTTGGAAACAGCCCGATGTAGACGAGAATTCCTTTCTTTCCAGATGTCATAGAGAGAAACTTGAAGAATCAGCTTACAAATAATGTTAAGTTTCCGCAGAGGAGAAGGATTAAGAACCTAAGAGACAATGGCGTCAAAGCCTTGAGGCGGCTGAAGGATAGGATGACCAAAGAAAAAACTCCATATAGTCTGAGCAAACGAACAACTGAAGAAGAGATGATCACGACTCTCGGTCTCCACCTGGCAAAGAAGACAAACGGCAGGAACATTCATCCCCCAGCTACGGAGACGATTACGAGTGGGCAGACGATCCCGCATTGCCACCCAGTGAATAAAAGAGTGCTTCGGAATACGTTGTGAAAACCAAACAGATTTCCACCAAGTTACCTCTTGAGTTGGAGGATTCAAAGCAGCCCATGTTTTAGAAGAGGAAAAAATACCATGATTACCATCAGGCGAATGCTTCCAAAGAAACAAGTCCTCCGAGCCAGCAACAATATTAGGGGGAGGGAGAACATCTCTAAGTAAAACTGCAATAGGGTTGTGACCGCGCGAAAGCAACCAACCATCATTAGAAACCGCATCGGAGACTACAGCCAAACGATGAATACCAGTAATCCTTGGGCCATTCGCACCAGTAAGCTCAATGAGAGGACCAAGGTCTGACCAGTTGTCAGTCCAGAATCTAGCAATCCTTCCCGAACCAATGGTACAGCAGAGAAAGGGCCTTGCGAGTGAACGAAGCTTGAGAAGCCTCCTCCATATCCAGCTACCTCCCGAATCATCATGAAGAGCCCAAAAGTCTCTATCACCAATAAGCATACGCCGCACCCAAGAAACCCATAACGATCCACCCTTAGTGAAAAGAAGTCAAATGAGCTTTAAACTGAAGACTTTGTTCCAAGCCTCAAGCCTTCTCAGTCCAAGCCCACCCGCTTCAAACGGAGTACAAACTGACTCCCACGCCACCTTGGCTCCACGAGCAGAATTGGGCACGCCTGTCCAAAGGAAGCTATTACAAAGTCTTTCAATTTCAGCCAGACAGCCCTTCGGTAACGGGAAGACTGCTGTCCAGAAATTGACAATCCCAGCAAGAACCGATTTAATGAGCTGAAGCCTGCCAGCAAAAGACAGATGACGAACCAACCAGGAAGAAATACGCCTCTCTACTCTCTCGACTAACGGTTGATAGTCCGAGTTTTTCATTTTCGAAGGCAAAAGAGGAAGGCCGAGATAGCGGACTGGTAAAGCACCAGCAACAACTCCATAACTATCAGCCAACTGAGCAGTCAAATCCACATTATTCCCGTCAAGGAATAAAAAAGACTTACCCAAATTAATGGACAGACCCGAAGCCAGATAAAATCCTCGCAGAACCTCCATAATGCCCGACAGAGACCGTTCAGAGCCATCAAAAAAGAGGAGCACATCGTCAGCGAAGCTCAGATGCGTCACCAATGGGACGACAGCCTGAGGATGAGGCGTGAAGCGATTAGAAACGGCTGCAATGTCAAGATCTTTAGACAAGATATCCATGGCAAAGTCGAACAAGGTGGATGAAATGGGATCATCCTGACGAAGACCCTTCTTCCCAGCAAAAAATCCGACAAGCTCACCATTGAACATGATAGAAAACGTAGGAGTGGAAATACATTCTTTAATCCATCCTATAAAAACCGCAGGGAGCTCAACCGCCTTTAGAATATTCAGTACAAACCCCATTCGAGACTATCATAAGCTTTTGTTAGATCGACTTGAATACATCCTCGAGAAGTAGAACCAGGCTTATGGAAATCGGCAACTAACTCAGAAGCTAACAACACATTCTCACAAAGGAGACGCCTTTTGATAAAACCAACCTGATTCCCTTGAATCACATCAGCCACAAAAAGCTTAAGCTTGGCAGACAGGATACGAGATATGACTTTGTAAACCGTTGTGCAGCAAGAGATCGGCCTAAATTCCTCTAGACGCTCAGCACCAACACGCTTAGGAATCAGAGCAATTGCAGTAGTGTTGACTTGTTTCAGCATCCGAGAAGTCTGGAAGAAACTTTGGACCGCTCACACCAAATCATCACCCACAATGTCCCAAGAGGAGGTAAAGAACTCAGCCGTGAAGCCATCCGGGCCCGGGGCTTTATTCTTTGGAAGAGAGAAAACCGCTGCCTTAATACCCTCAGCCAAAGGAACAGTAATAAGAGAAGTAGCCAATCCCGTAGAACACCTAAACGGATGGATACTCTTGATATGATTGACGGAATACGGACGGATAGTCTGGTTAGAACAACCCAGAAGACTAAAATAATACTCCTCAACAAGAGCTTTCATTTGCGAGACCTCCGTAATTCTTGTATTGTTACCAACCCGAAGATGATGAATGGTATTCCATTGAAGGTTGGCCTTAACAGATTTGTGGAAGAATCTTGTATTGCGATCGCCTTCATCCAGCCAATGGATGCAAGATTTCTGCCTAAAGAAAGACTCCTCAGCAGCTGCCCAGAAGTTCCAAGAGTTACGAGCAACAGTTTCATCCTCAAAAGCTTCCGGGGAAGGATCATTCAACACACGAAATTGAACACTTTCCAGTCTAGCAAAAGCCTCCTTAACCCGCTGTTGAATGTTACTGAAATGAAGTCTGTTCAAATCCTGACAGCATTGCTTAGCATCTCGCAGCTTCCTATACAAGACCACCAAGGGAGAACCAGAGTACGAAGAACCACACCAAGCCTCCTCAAGAAGCGATTTGAACTCAGGATGTGTGGTAAGAAAGGTAAAAAATCTGAAAGGTGTTTTCCGCCAGACAATCTGAGATGAAAGATTAACCAAGCAAGGGGACTGATCCGATGGTCCAGGAGCATCGAAGACAGCAGAAGATTGGGGATAACTGTCCAGCCAAGCCTCATTACCCAATACACGATCCAGCTTCCTAGTGATGTGATTGGTTGGCTGAAGATTCGTCCAAGTAAAAAGACAGCCACGGCTAGCAATATCAAAGAGCCGACTCGATGAAAGACACTCCTGAAGGTCGTCCAGACCCTGATGAGAGACTAAATAAGGGAACAAGGAATACCTCTCATCCAAAGATAACACCTGGTTAAAATCGCCCATTAACGCCCAGGGAGAGCAAGAGAGAAGAGGCAAAGCCGACAGCTGCACAATAGAGTTCCAAAGGGGGCGACGCTCCTCCTCTGTATTACGAGCATAAACAAACCCGATAGTAAAAGCCTGACCCGTGGCAAGATTCATCACACCACACAAAACTAACTGATCTGATTTAGAGTAGACGACAAGCGATAGAGCAGGATTCCAAGCTATAACAATCCTCCCATTAACCGCCTCATCCGAATAATTAGTGTCAAAATTCCAACCTGGTAAAACTCTGCTCATCACCGAACTAATATTATGCTCGCGTACCCGTGTTTCCAAAAAACCGCCGACTAAAGGTCGATTAGCGGTTATCCACCGAGAAACAGCTAACTGTTTATTACGGCCATTAAGGCCCCTTACATTCCAACAATCGTAAAAACGACTAAGCAGCCACAGAAGAAGCCTGTCGTGGAGACGACTGACTTCCTGACGCAAAAGACTGAGTGATACCTGCCAACGGAACATTAGAGTGAACCAAGGGAGAAAAGACTTGAGATTCCTGAAGTAAAAACTGTCTCAACAGGCGCCTACATTTTTTCCTCGAGGGGTCCACACTACGCAAACGTTCCTGGGAAATACGTATTCCTTCCTCCTCAAGATGACACTGGGAGGAAGAAATGGAGCCAGCCTCGGGAGAACCACACTTCTCCACAGAAGGGCCAGGAACATGAACAGACCTTTGAACAACTACAGCCAGATTGCCCATCGAAGAGACAGACGAACAAGAGGCAAGAGAGGTATTCTTTGGTGATCGAGGACCAGCGCAAGGAGGCACAAGGGGATGCACAACTGGGTGAAAGACAACAGCAGAGGAAGGCACCAGGGATTTGCCTTTTTTGCCCACCCGAATCCACTCAGAGCAAGGACTCGAAGGAGAACTATCAACCACAGGAGAGTGCAGAGGAAGACTAGAAGACCGAACCAAAGGGGGAGCCTGTTTAACAGCAGGAACTTTCGAGAGAGAGATACCCTGAAGAGCCAAACTAGCAGGGGCGACAACTACCTTAGCGCCCTTAAAGGGAGCTTTCAAGGGAACCCCTGAAGAGATCTTTCCTTTGAATTGTGCTTACGCCACTACTTTCGTCAACAAATGTTATTAAAATCGTTTTAAACTGATATATATTTGGGTTATGCTTACGCCACTACTTACATATCATTACATAAAATCGTTTTAAAAACAAAAAAATTTATAAATACATCTCTATACTATTATTATTTTTTTTTGTCACCCATCTCTATATTATTATTTAAGAAGTTATTTTAAACAATTGATTTTATTTTGTAATTATCACATGATTGTCATTACAAATAACAAAGAATAATTAAAAAGAAATGGATATAATTTTCTTTCAAAACTATTGAAAGAATATGGAAAGCTTTTGTCCTTCATTAAATAAGATATTAATATTTAATTTTTAATTATTACAGTATTATATATTTAAATTAATAATCAATACATATTTTCAAAAAAAAATCTATTTGAGATTTTGCAATATTATTAATTCTAATTTTTATAAATTTAATTGAATAAAAGTTAAACAGGTTGAATTAAAGTTTATATTTTAGTCTATAGAAAGATGGTTTAAGGTGTAGATTGGTTCATCCACTATCACCGGTAAGCGCTGCATTTGCGGTCAATAGTGGTTAGTAGCGTTTCATAAAAATCATAAAAATCGCTGCAAATTGTTTTGTATCGTTTATACCGCTAAAATCCAAAAGCTGCTTCCCACCAGCGTTTGCGATTGCGGGCAGAAGCGGTTGGGTTAAAAACAAATATCACGCTAGAAAAAAATTGGAAAATCATGTTAAACAATTATAAACTCTAGCCCTACTAATCTTCTCCTATATATATAAACCTTAACCTATCACTTTTTCTATCAAGTTTTAGTCTCTAGATTTTTGAGTGCACTAAAAAAAAACATATTCTGAAAAATATTAATGAGCAATTTGGAGTTGATTCGAGTTGGAACCATGCAAAAAATCGATTAGATCAATTGAAGAAATTTGACGTCATGCATAAGACAAATTGCTCAGAAGATTTACGTATTGGAGCAAATTTTTTTCAGTTTACCACATTATTAGACACAATTTTGGGCGATGTTCCCAACAATTGAAATAAAATATGTTATTACAAAATTTATTAGTTTTTAAAATAATTATTTAGTATTTATTTATAATTTTTTATTATTAATTATTTTGAGTTAGTGATTTTGATATTAAGTATAATAATATAGTTTTTATGTTTTTTTATAATTATAAATGATGTTTATTTTGGTAATTTAATGTTTATCCGCTAAAACATTTGTTCATTCGCCAGTCAAAAATATCCCGTAAACGGACCCGCCTAAAAAAATTAACCAATCGAGCAAACTGCTTAATAACTTTCAAAACCGCAATCGTACGTTTTCACAAACTTCCGCACTCGCAATCGTAACCGCTGCGTTTAAACCAGTCAGATCCTAAATAAACAGATTAGTCCAGTTTGACAACTCCATTTCTAATAATTAGTTAGACATATAATAAAAAATTTAAAAATGTCAAAATAAATTTTAAGAAAATTGTCCCGTCCTAGTATATAACATTGATGTAGCTTAATACAAATCTTATTAGTATGAAAAGATTACATCTACAAATAAATTCGTATAGTTTTTTTTGTCTAACATGTTAAAAACACTAATATAGCTATTTATAATTTAAAATAAAAAAGAAAATTTATAGTTAATTAGACTAAGATCCCTGTGATACAGGCGATAGAAAATAAAATATTTAGAATATTAAAATAATTCTTGCATGAGTAAGACCTATATAATTATATTATAGATTAAGATCCGTGTTCAAATATTCAGAAACTTTATTTTGTAAAGCGCAATTCAAAAGTGATACCCACATTACCCTGCCCATAAGACAGATAAACAATCTCCTTTAATGATTGTGCGGGTCAAATTATATATAATTAGGAATTAGTCCATGTTATATAGTTAGTGTGCACTACAAGAAAGCTATCTTTTAAATCGGAAAAAATCGATGAAACTTCAGGGCTTTTATTCGTCGTAAAAACGAACGTCGTAAATCCCAAATCGTCATAAAATCGATGTAACTGTTGCGATGATTTAAAATCGTCGTAAATTCAACGGTATAAAATCATCGTAAAATCGACGTAAATATTTACATTGTCGTAACAATGAATATAATTTCAACACTAAATTGACGTAAACTCATTTTTAATTTATAACAATTTTACAATAATTATCCAAAAAATTAAAATCAAAATAATAAATATATTTTTTTAATTTCAACGTAAATTCATCGTAAATTTTCGATGGTAAATCGTCGTAAATAATTTTAATGTAAATTCTTTGTAAATATTATAATCAGTCTTAATTATCATCATCATAGCTGCTAATGACAATTTAGACTGTCCTTTTCTACATACATCGTAGAGAGGCTGTTTTGCAGCATTTAACATATCATAAAAATATTTCGCATCTACATTGGGTTCCTCAACAATATCAAAACGCGTTTCATGAAATGCATCAGTAACCATATCATGCATCCTATCATGATCATGACTCTCAAATTGATGCTCACTATTCTGATAATTATTGGGATAATTATAAATATAGGACAAATAATTTACTTATTTAGTAATTTTGTCCCCTTAATATTTTTACAAATAATTTAACATCTTCTACCCTTTTAAATCGAATTTAGACGTAATAATAAAAAATTTATGATACAAAATTTAAATATTTTAAATTAAAATAGATAAAAAGTTAAAAAAAGGAAAAAAAACATTTACCTCTTTGTAGAATCTGCCTCCTACCATCATCTTCTTTGACGGGAGAAAAAAAAGTCAATGTCGGTCTTCTTTTCTGCGGTGTAGTCTCCGCCGGAAATTCTTCTCTATTTCACTCCGGTAAGTCTAAATTAACTGTCGTCCTCCTTGTCTGCTTACTCCTTCTTTGATATTTCATTTCCATCGGTTGAATTGTTGGGGTTTGTTTAATCCCAAATCGATTTGTGTTTTTTAGGTGTAACTAGAGTGATTTTTGGGCTTAGCTAACGTCATCGCTGCTGTATCAACTGATAATCTGAAGGTAATGTATTGATTTCCAGTGTTTTACTGATCATAAGTTCAAATTGTAAATTTTGAAATTTTGATTGCTCTTGGGTGGATTTGAGATCAAAATGATGTTGCAGCAGCATAATAAGGAGTTTCGTATTTAGTGGGAACCTTTTTTCGAAAAAGATCTTCGAAGAGGTATGACTTTATTCCTTTTAAAGTTCAATAACTAAAATTATAATTTGTAATATTCAATTATCTTACGTTGTTCAATTTTATTTGTAGGTTGCTCCGAGGAAGAAGGACCGCATCTTAGAGATGAGGTCTATTAGAGACTGTCCCATCACCTCGTCTTCGGGAAGCCGGGCATACGAGGATTCGGCTCATCTGCGACAGGAGCTAGAGGTTGCCCATGCTGAGATCACCAGCTTGCGGGATGAGCAGGTCGTCCAAAAGCAGGAGATTGGCGAGATGAATGCCCTCTTCGACGTCATAGCGGCGAGCACTCCGCAGTTGGCCGTCGCACTCCAAGAGAAGCAACGCCGATCACAGACTCTAGGAGGGACGATGACTCCTGCCGATACATCCTTTGATCCGCAGACCGGTGCAGCGGATCAGACCTCGGCTCCCGTACTTCATACGAGAAACGACGGCGGCATAGTGGTTGGACATGGCGGGGAGCCTCCTCGGAACGTCGATCTCAACTTTGAGGATATTATTTTGTAGATTGTATTTTTTTTTTTTACATATTGTATTTGAATTTAATTTTTATTAATAAATTTCTTTTCTAATTATTTTTTTTAAATTTATTTATTTAATATTAATTAATTAATTATATATCGAGTTTTAAATAATATTTATTTTAAAGTCGATTTTAGGATGGATAACTTAGGACGAATTAATGTTGATCATGTTTATGCTGATTTTACGTCGATAACTTACGATGATTTTACGTTGATATTAAATTAAAATAATTGTTTTTCACGAAACAAATATGTCGTAATATCGTTGTAAAATCAATGTAAATTTACATCGACTTTAGGTCGAATTTGAGTGGATAAGTATTTCGTCGTAATAACATTGTAAATTTTTAAATCGTAATCGCAATTACGACGATTTGATAACGACGATTTGATTACGACGATTTTACGATGATTTTGACGCGTCAGAATATTTC